ACAGCCATGCCACCTGTCGTTCTGATGGCCGTTTTGGCCGCATGCTTGGCTTAAGGCTGGTCTCGAGGCTGGCATTTCCCCCTCGCGGGCGCACTGGTGCACTCTTGAGAATTTCTGCTTCTGGTGGAAATCGGGTGTTTCCCGAAGATGCTTTGGGGATGCAGCCCTTTGTCCTCAGCCGAAGACACGAAGCAGTTCTGCGAAGCATCAATCTTCAAAGTTGGAGCAAAAAGATTTGATCCCGGCTTCGTCTTGGCAATGCTCACGTCTTGGCATGAGTAAGTGTATGTGTCTTTGAGCACAGCGATGTCAATGATGCAGGCTTCTGGTAGCTACCCTAAAAACCTCAGTTGTGATGAGGGTTGTGCATTTAGTGCCGGGAAGTTGCTTTGTACGGACGCTTCCCCTTTTCAGCACGTAAGCAAGCAACCACCCGTTGATATCGTCGCTTGGACTCTTCGACGGCTCGTTTGACTTTTGATTGCACGCTGAAATGATCGATTTTGTGGCAGAGCCGGGAAGTTCGCGCAGCAAAGCCGGCAGAATGCACCCGGCGCCGTATGCTATGGACATTTTTCCAGCCGAAAACTCGATGCCCATGGCACCAGGGTTTACGTTCTGCAGCTGGAAACTGTTAGCCTGACTGTGATACTACGGTCTGCATGTGCCGCTGCACGTCTATGAGGTGTCCTGTTTTCGTGTGGATTGTCTGAGTTGTCACGTATGTAGTGGCAATCGGATATCAAGTATTTCACCTTTCTGTTTGCTTCTGGGAACCGAGAATTCGATCTTGCGTGCCCAGAATGTAAGGATCAGAGGGTTGCGAATCAGTCTGGATGATAGGAAAAGATTTGCCTTGCGCTACACTGTTCAGCCGAACTCATTGGAATGGTATGCCGGCAGCCGGTATCTTGGCCCACTGCTTCAACAAGGTCCAGTATTCGATTCATTCTGCTGCAGCCACGCAACGCGGTCATCCCTGATTCCTCGAGCAGATTCGAATCATTTCAGTGCTACTGTAGGTCATCATGCTCATTGGCAACAAGTGCGACCTGGACCGACGTGAGGCAGATTGCAGGGAGTTATGGAATCATTCCCGCAGTCATGCTAACATGCGTGCAAGCATGTGTTGAAAGGAGAGCTTGCGAGGGACGGCATGTAACTATGGCCTGCCGTTCTGCTGTTGCAGAGGCACATGTCCTGAAAGCTAGGTCACCTACGAGGAGGGTGCGCAGTTTGCCCGAGACCATGGCCGGGATACTTACTGCCTGCGATGACGTCGATGGCGCACAACTGCAGAGTGCACGGAGGTTCTGAAAGCCATGAACTTGGGGTTGTGTCAGCCTGCGCACAGCAACTACCGAAATGTGCTTAGGCTTGATTTTCAGAGAGACGTCAGCAAAGACAGCGCAGAACGTGGAGGAGGCAAGCAACACACGCTTGCTCCGTTTTTGAAGACTGTTGGACTTGGAACCGGTGTTTGCAAAGGACTTTGCAGATTTGTGGGCGCAGCGGCTAGTTCTACACAGAACACTTTCTCAACAGTGCTTGTTTGCCAGGCCTTCATACAGACGGCCCGGAAGATCTACGAGAATCGCGGCACAAATTCAGCGAAAAACCGAACACTGTTTGTGCACGGGCTGTTGGCATAGTGGTGTAAGTAAAGGCAGGGCCGTGAACGGACTTCCGTTTCCGCAACTGTTCCAGCTACATCTCGCATCATCACAAGTGTCAGCCAGCCTGCTCAATCCCGTCTTGCATGGCTGTATATGGGACCGATGCCAGAAGCTTACAAGGAACATCCAGAACAACGTCTACGACTTGAGTTCGGAGGTTCGCAGTTGTGGTACATCCTCTAGCACCTGTGACCTTGAAAAAGAGTGCCCATTGCTTGTGATAAGGGAAGAACCCCCACCATGTGCTGACAGCATTCGCTGCGTGTCATTCGACGTCCAAGACCGCAAGAGAAACCTCCTGACAGCCTGCTGGACTAGCCTTGATTGTGCCTTTGCCCGCGCAGAGCAGCGGAATCAAAGTCGGTATGCCGCCAACAGGCACGCAAGGGAGCGTGCATGCTTTGTTCCAGTGGTTCGAGGGAAATTCTTCGAAGGTTGTGCGGCAGTTGGGTTGTCGGGCTATTTTGTCTAGCCTTGACCCTGAGGACTCAGATTGAATTGCATTCGTTGGAATAGACAAAACAATAACCGAGCTTTTGCAGGTCACTCGCACGCTCCGTAGCTTTGTTTGTTTACATGTTGTTTGCCAGTCTGTCTGTCTCTCTCTCTCTCTGTGTCTCTCGTCTGCAAGCCGTGTCAAGATAGTCACCAGCGGCCACTAGCACTTGCAGTCACTTGCATTTGTTTGGAGGCGCTGGTTACCAGCACGGGCCTCCACGGCTCGATGGTCGTCAGACCGGCGGTTGCTGCAACTGAGAGTCTGAATGAGTCTGAGTTAATTCATCTCTGATTAGCGCTTCATGCTCTTACTCTCGTGATTGCCATTGTTCCACAGACTATGGTGACTACAGCGGTCTTTGTTGATGTAGAGATTCGACGTCGTGTCGCGAATTCGAGTGAGGCTGTGAGGGCACTGCATGGGCGATTTACAGGCCCAGGCAGGTTCGACCTCATCATTTCCCGGTGCGAGCGCGAACACATGTGAATTGCTAGGTTGAGCGTAGTTGTATGCATTAGGATGCATTGGTATTTTAGGCCTTCCCACAGCGCTCAGTTGAGATCATCAGCCCTCGTCTTCGTCACCAGCCTCAGAACGTCATCACGCGACTCCTCCTGGCTGTGTCTTAAGATGTGCAAGATCTGAAGCGTCAGATAGTCTAGGACGAGTGTTGCTATACTGTTGTGCAGCTGCGCAGATGTACATCAGGCATTCGTAGGCAGAGCCTGAAGGGGTCAGCAAGTCTCACACGATGTGGGCACTCACGACCAGCAGCCCAAATGTCGCCAGCTACAGCATCCGCGAGCCTCGTGCCATTATATGAACCAGAGTTGGACGTTGCAGCTGTCGCTCATGGCTCCGGTACCGTCAGGAGTTTCTCCAGGGCGGGGGTGGGCGAGGGGGTGTACAACAGTTGCTGAGGCTGTGCATGTCCATGCTTGGTGATCGGACGTGGTGTGCAAGTCTTGCCGACTTCCCTTTACATCTTTTTGCTTCTTGTCTTGGTTTGGGGCAAGAAGGCTGTCAAGCTATGATTATGCTGCAGTACTGCAGCCATCATCGAAGCAGCTCGCTGATGCTGCCGCATTGTTTGAGCTCGGCTGGCCTTGCTTGGAGCACGGCCCTACATAGATCCTGCCCGTGCCGCCTTCACACTGTCGTGGGGGGTCGGGTTTTGGCAACAGGGAGATCCATGCAACAACGCCTTTTTTGCAAAGCGATTGTTTATGTGGCAGTGTTCTCTCTGTAGCCATGTGGCGGGCACAGCCAAGAAGTGTTGTGCCTGAGCTGGCACTTGTGAAGGTGGCGGGACCTTGAGTCAGGAATCTCGATCCCTGTATGAATTTCGTGGCTTGCACTTGCCGACTTCAACGCGGCCACAAACAGAAGTAGTGCTCGGAGGACATACTATCCCTTATCCCGGAATTTGCAGAGCACGCATATGAGACAGATTTTGTTTGCTCCACTGCACTGCGACGGGCAGTGTACTGTTCATGCCTTCGTAGAGGTTCGCTTGGAGGAACAACTCGGGAAGGCTCCCGCCACCTGCATCAAATTGCTTGAAGCTGTGCTTTTGATGGTGTCCTCTGTTGTGCCCACTGGTGTGCGTGGTGCTACCTTCAGTATCATTCAGTTTTCAGTGATGTTCTAGCATTCTAGAATAAACAAACCGCTCACATGTTTGGTCGTTCTGCTCGGTGTCTTCAGTGCTGGAGCCATAGTCTTGGTGTTCTGGTGATTCTGTGCGGCCAACCAGCAAGCTTGTCCTGTTGTTGTTTGAGCAGAAAGCAAGCACGGTGTACCTCCGAGGTGGCATCATAGTCAGCGCGCTGGCTGCACATGACAAAACAGGTGTTCGCTTCGGAGTTGCCGTTTTTGCAGCAAGTACAGGTGTTACAGACCAATAGACTGTCAAGCTGGAGCTGAATGTTGTCCGGATAGACTGATAGCGTAATCCTACTTACAGCTTCGATTTTTGAGCACTTCCTGCACCTCGCAGCAACCTGAACGATCGCATTTATCCGCAGCTGTCTTCACGACCATGAACATGTGTTGGACACAGCTTGAGGATTTCGCCCCAACACAGTCGAGAGTCGAGAGTGTTTCCATGCAGTCTTTTCCGCCATAGTCGCCACAACAGAACACAACACCCACCATCATCTCGCTGGAAATGTCCGTGTTACGAGTCGCTTTTGGTATAGTCTGGTCCTGCGACATGGCAGTCGTGCAGTCGCACAGATGTGGTCCCCTGTCACCACTACGTAGGCCAACAAACACTTCAGCTCTGCAGCAAGAAGCTGCTTCCAGACCCAGCCGGGCATGTCCCATGACAACCGTTGTCGCGGTGTCGAATCCTACTCCAAGGGCGCAGGTTTTGGGCGCCAAGACCCCAGGTGCTGCAAAAGCCAGACAGGGCTTCGCATGGGCCCAGGCCCACCTGTCTCTTTGACCAGAACCAGTACTCGCTTCACGTATTTTTGTTTATGCTCGAAAGAATCATGGTGTGTGCTTGAGGTCTCTGATGTATCGTTCGACGAGTGTTGCGAGGGGCGCTTACTAGGCAAGGCGCTCGGACGATCTAGTTCCGACACTTCGTTTTTCACTGCATCTGGCAAGAGAAAGTCGCACTCGGAAAACTGGGGCACGTGAGGCGGCGACCATTCCAGTGACTGCCCAAGGCCTCGAATGTTATGTTTGACCGGGAGGCATCATCTAAATGCCTGGCTGGACTTTAGCGTTAGGACCGTCTAGCAGCTTTTTGCGACGACACCGCAGCCTGCTGCAGGCTACGTCGTCTACGCTCTGGTCACTCTGGTCATGACCAAATGGCCAGAGACCAGGACGAGCCCGGGCTCGGGCTTGACTTGAGCGTAGATTTCGTGCAAGTGACTGCATGTTTGTGTGCCGCCGCGCCGCCCCTTTTGCCCTCTTCATCTTCGTCAGCGATGTCCTTCCGAACCCCGCAACACGCAGCCAGTGCAGCGGCAGCATGCTGCATAGTCCTGCGATGAGATTTTGCTGCAGGAGGTGGCCATGGCTATGCAGGCCAACATGTGGTCAGTTTGAAGTTGTGGTATGTCGCGCATGGCAGATCGTATCCTCAAGTATGCTTTGAGCTGCTTGGTTTTGTTGTTCTCATTGGCTCCGTACGAGTCAGGCTGCACTTTCTTGCTGTGTTGCTGAAGCGTCGTCCATGCAGTGTGTGCCGAAGACATTGGATCGAAGAGGGCAAGCTGACACAGGTGCCCGCCCGAATGTTATGCGAAAAGGGGTTCACTTATACCCCCCACTGCAGCTTGAGCCAAAGTGTGAGTGGGATTTCGACACTCTTTCTAAGCATGTGAACATGTTCTTCAGTTGATTTTCGTCACGCATGGCGGTTGGCCATGGAAGCATTCCAGGATCTGAAGGAACCGTCGTATCTGCTGGATGCCATCTCGACTCGACAGAGCATCGTATGCCAGGCATGGAGGCAAGAAGCCAAGGAGGCGTCAGTAAAGCCTGCATCGAAGCATTGCAATGTGCGAGAAATTGCATATTTCCTTAAGCCTTCACCAAGAGGCGCATGAAAAGCGCACCCAGACATGCCGGGAACTGATGAGCCGCTTGGCTCCCCCGCACAGAAAAAGGAGTCCTCCCAAGTCCTCTACGAGTCAAGAGAGGCAAAAATTCGAAGTGTCTTCTTGGCCCTGGCCGACCTTGTCTCAGGTCGATTAGAGAGAGTCCAACCTGGTGCTGACGACGGCGCCGTCTTCACACACCTGGATCTAGGCCAGTTGAAAACTTGCGACGAGATGAAAGTACCTGCATTGGCTTTGGACTCACCTGAAGACCTGAAGGACAACAGACGGAACCTCGTCCGGAGAGGAAGGCCAGGTCTGGCCTTTGGAAATTCACGGCTTAACCGACTTGACCGAGGATCGGATCGACTTGGGGAAGGCGAAAATGCGGCGCTGGGGTACCAGCCACACCATGCCAGGATCACGGCGACTTGCTTGTCTGAGAAAGGTTGACGGGCCAAGCAACTTGCCTCCGAGGTTACCGCAGTACGGGGTGCTGCACGCGCGCAGAGCGCGGACATCCCCAAGAACAGAGATGCCAAGGCAGTAAGATAATTCTAATGCTACGCAGCCCGCCTCGGCCGCCGGCTGCAGTAGGGCCAGCAGGGGCGCAGAGCAGGGGCCAAACTGCGAAGGGCCTCTTAAAGCAGGTGTAATTTAGTTGCAGGGTCAGGGCTACTTGGAGAAGTGTGGCAAGTGTAGAGCAAACACATGCAGCAAAACCCACAGTGGAGCCGGGGGCAGGCCGAAAGAGAAGAAAAGGTGAAAGAAAACGAGCAGGCAGAAGACAAAAAACAAGGGGAAGCCGGAGGAGGAAGGGGGGGCCGGAAGAGGAAGGGTGGGGGGGAGGGGGGGGGGAAGAAAACAAGCCAAAAAGAAGTGCACGAAAAAGTCGCAATGGAAAAAACACGCGAGGGCAGGACAAGACGGAAGGGTGGGAAAAGGGGCCGGGGGAAGGCCCGGGGGAGGGGGGCCGGGGAAGGGAGGGAGGGTCGGGGAGGTCGAAAAAACACGCGAGGGCAGGACAACACGGAAGGGTGGACTGGCCGGCCGGAGGAGGAAGGGGGGGCCAGCAAGAGGGGGAGGGGGGGAAGGAAGGAAAACAAGCCAAAAGAAGTGCAGACAAGACGGAAAAGGGGCCGGAACAAAACAGCAAAACGAGAGCTTCAACGAGGAAGCAGGAAAGAAGCACGCAAACGAAACATCAGAAGAAAAGACAGTGGAGCCGGGGGCAGGCCGAAAGAGAAGAAAAGGTGAAAGAAAACGAGCAGGCAATCGAAAAAACACGCGAGGGCAGGACAAGACGGAAGGGTGGGCAACCAAAAAAGGAAAACGAGCGAGGAGGGCAGAGGGGAGGACGGGCCGGAGGGGGAGAAGAGAGTTTGCGTTTGGTCTGCAGGGAGAAGGATTAGGTAGAGGGTTGGTTAGTATTAACCATCAAGACGCCAGAGGCCTTTGGCCTCGGCGGATGTCAGGAACTATGCCGGCATTCACCATAGCCCAAGCCTAGCATAGCCCAGCGACCAGCCCAGCTAGCAGTAGAGTACAGCTCTGAGCGGCCGCGGAGTGCGGTGTATTTGTTTGAACTGAAAGGCTGTTGACGGCTTTCCTGCCCGACCAGGCCGTCTCCACGCGCGGCTCAAGCCCGCCTTTCAAAGAAGACACATGGCAGCATTTTCCTTCAAGTTGGCTTTACCATTGGGCCTTAGATTTCTCAGATGGTCATGCAGTCATGCAGCATACAGGCCCCGCTCCCGGCCCAGTTCGATGACCCCGCGCTCCCCTCGCAGCTCGGACGAGTGCTTGAAGACACCCAGATGCATGAAGTCGGAGCAAATCTCTGAGGCAAAGACGAAGGACGGAAGCAGACGGAGGACGTGACAATCTGAGCCGAAGCCCTCCAGTCCAAAGCTTAAGCTGCCTCCAATGTCCTGAGGCCGTTCGCAGTCTAGCTCGGACCAGGTGCCGTGGCTTTGACAATTGCAAAGCTCTGCACGTGGCCTTGGCCCAGAATGCCCCGATGCCGAGAGGCCCCAGTCAGGGCCGTGGCGCCGTGCATCAGATCGAGCCAGCAAGGTGCTTCTCGCCACCGCGCTTGGGTCAATCTGGGAATATCGGATCGAGTGGTCGAGTTGCCAGGAGATTCGAGCTAGCAAGACCGCGACTCCGTTGCGCGAGGCCTGAGGCTTTTGGGCTGCCGAGGTGGTTTACGTGTCTGGTAGTTTTGGGAGGCACGGCGTGCCTTGGAAGCCTTGGCCTCCGCTGCACTGGCTGCGACACTACGTTGCTCTCGGAGCCAAGCCAACGGCCAAGCCATCAGGCCGTAGCCGCAGCCAAATGTCGGACATCGTCCCGAGATCGAGGAGCTGACAACCTGCCTGCTTCGAAGGGTTCTCGCCGAGTCTGCCGGGGACCCTAGAGAGATTCTGAGGAGCAGATGGGAGCAGCCACAGCAAGGCGACCTGCACGATCATTCCGAGCGCGAGTCCATTTTTCCCGAAAGCATCGCGAAGGGTTCTTCCGTGTGGAACGCCGCAGCTGAGTACATAGATGACAGACATAGAATCAACTTACTTGACTCCATACTTTACTCTACACTCGATACTTGACTCTACACTTGATACTTACTTACTTACTTGACCTCTATGACTGACTCTCTACACTTGACACTTGACTCTATGATACTTGACTCTACACTTGATACTTGACTCTATGTTATGCTATCTCTATACTTGCTTACGACTTACTTACTTACTTACTTACTTCACTCTACTTACTTACTTACTTGACACTTGACACTGGACTCTATGTTATGCTATCTCTATACTTACTTATACTTACTTACTTACTTACTTACTTACTTTTACTTACTTACTTGTTACTTGCTTGACTCTCTGCCTCCTGACTTATGACTTACTCTCTACATCTCGGTATCTAATTCTCTCTTCTAAAGCCAGGGGTGGCACCGTTGTCGTCCATCGGGAATGCAACCCTTCCCAGGGATTCGCCTCCTCGGGCGTTCAAACGCGAGGTAAAGTTACACATTTTAGGGTTCCCGCGCAACCCTTCCCAGGGATTCGCCTCGGGCGTTCAAACGCGAGGTAAAGTTACACATTTTGCGGCCCGCGCAACCCTTCACAGGGATTCGCTGCCTCGGGCGTTCAAACGCGAGGTAAAGTTACACATTTTAGGGTTCCCGCGCAACCCTTCACAGGGATTCGCTGCCTCGGGCGTTCAAACGCGAGGTAAAGTTACACATTTTGCGGTTCCCGCGCAACCCTTCACAGGGATTGGAACTCTCGGGCGTTCAAACGCGAGGTAAAGTTACACATTTTAGGCGCCCGGGTGAACCCTTCACAGGGATTCGCCTCCTCGGGCGTTCAAACGCGAGGTAAAGTTACACATTTTGCGCGCGCCGCGCAACCCTTCACAGGGATTCGCCTCCTCGGGTGTTCAAACGCGAGGTAAAGTTACACATTTTGCGGGCGCCGCGCAACCCTTCACAGGGTTTGGGCGCAGCTCAACTGCATTTTGCAACCCTTCACAGGGATTGGCATTTTGCAACCCTTCACAGGGATTGGCATGGTCGAACGCACGAACGCTAGGTAAAGTTGCATTTTTTGATGTGCATTGAAATGAATTTTGCAACCCTTCACAGGGATTGGCGTGGTCGAGTGTTCGAACGCGAGGCAAAGTTGCAATTTTTGATGTGCATTGAGATGAATTTTGCAACCCTTCACAGGGATTGGCGTGGTGGAGTGTTTGAACGCGAGGTAAAGTTGCAATTTTTTATGAGCATTGAGATGAATTTTGCAACCCTTCACACAGATTGGCGTTGTCGAGTGTTCGAACGCGAGGTGAAGTTACACATTTTGTGGTGCCCGCGGAACCCTTCACAGGGATTGGCTTGGTCGAGCGTTGAAACGCCAGGTAAAGTTGCACATTTTAGGTGCCCCGCGCAATCCATGAGAGGGATTTGCTTTTTCGAGTGTTCTATGTTGTAATCGGTAGGTGTGCAGTAGGTCAATTGGCAACCCCTCAGAGGGATTGGCAAATGCATATATCGATAATATACATATATATATATATATCTATCTATCTATATCTATCTATCTATATATATATATATATATATTTCTATATCTATCTATCTATCTATGTATCTATCTATCTATATATATATAGATAGATATAGATAGATAGATAGACATATATTCATGCGCTTGTACGGCGCGCACGCTGTCTTGCGACGGCGCACCGCGCCGCTGCCTGGCCGACGACTTCTGCAGGCTCGGAAGGGGCTGCATGTTGCAACATCTTCCTATACTGGTGTCTGTTGTTTGCCTGCCTCGTTTGGCTCGAAAGGGAGAAGCAAGGGAAAACGCGTTGCAGCATGTTGCACACATTGCAGCATCTCACTACACCTAGTACGTTGCCTTGCCTGCCTCGACGCTGTCTTGCGAAAGGGCCGGTGTGGAGGTTTTT